TCAAAGCTAAAATTCAACCCACTAGAGAAAATAGTTCACTGTCTGAAGTTTGGAACTCACGCATGATTTTCTGGACTCCAACAGGCTTGGACATTTTCATTTCTACAGGTTTTCCATCCATAGCTCTGTAGGCTTAAGCTGATTCCAGTATGCTTGGTGGTTTTCCCACAGTCCTAGCACCTTCAATATGTTGAGTCTCCACTGCTATTGAGGTTGCGCTTTCACTAATGGCCTCTCCTGCTTCTCATCATGACTCCTTTAGTCCTGGTATCCTCACTGAGACTATGTCTACTTCTATACCATTATCATGTTGTTTTCATTATTAAGGTTTTGTAGTATATATTGAAATCTGTAATGGTGATGCCTCCCTCAGTATTCTTGTTGTTTAGGTGTGCTTTGGCCTTCTTTGGTCTTTTGTACCTCCATATATTTTTTAGGTTTTCTTTTTATGTCTGTGAAAAACAGTCTTAAAATTTTATTCATGGACCACATGAATTATTCTTCTAAAAATGGGTCTTCTACCAAAAAGAAATATGTAAATACAATGCAATCACAATTAAAATTCCTGGTATATTCTTAAAGAAATTTCCCTTTCCTTCTCTAACACCATTAATGTTTAAGGTCTTGCATTGAGCTATTAGATGAATTTTTAATTAATTTTTCTCAGGGCGACAAAAATATAGTTTTCTTCTACTGCATAGAGATACCTATTTTTCCTATCACCACTGCATATGCTGTAGTTATATTGCTTAATGTTTCCTCAAGTATAATTCCATTGGTCTATGTGTCTCTTTCATTGGAGTAAAATGATGTTTTGCTCCAATGGTGCTGTCCTACAACTAGATCAGAAACTGTGATATCTCATGCCTTATTATTTCTCCTTAGTATTAGCTTTGACTATTCTGGGTACATTGTGGTTCCATGTGTTATTAATGCTTTTATATCCCTGTGAATCATAGTATTGGGATTTTGATAGTAATATTATTGAATCATTAGATTACTTTCAGTAAAAAAACCATTTCACAAAATTAAAAACAAACAAGCATCTTGGCAAAGAGGATGTAATGTGGCCCAGTGAGTCACACAGTATACACTTGAGTCCACACATCTTTTCAGGTAAGTCTTCCATGCCTCTGGCTTATCTACACTATAGATAATGGACCTTCACTTATAGTCTTCTTGAATATCCTATTGATGTCTTGTGTCATGGAGATCCTGCAGCTTTGATCTGCAGGTCTGGGCCCTTCACATGTTCCAACAATTCCTAGATTAAGAGAATATTAGGGTGGGATAAGTTCTTGCCCTGGTTCTGGGCATGGGTGATAACAGTTTGCTTAGCCCACCACCTTTCCTCATCTCATCACCCAGGCCAGCTCTCCAGCACTACCCCAGGTAGGTCACCCAATGCAGCAGGCAGAATAGAAAGGAGCCAGTTCAACTGTTCTCACACCCCTCCAAATGACTTACCCACACTCAGTCAAGAAAAGATAGTTAAGTTAGTCTGCCCAGGTGAGGTGCAAGCCCCGCAATTCCAATTGTTGCAGTTGGTGAGAGGCTGTCCCAGATCTTCTGCTCTAATGCCCCAGAGGCCAGTTCTTCCACAAGCCACAGGTGGCATATGCTCAGGTGTGGCAGACATTTTTTCCTCACTCTTGCCAACACAAGACAGATGAAGTGGGGAGGACCCAGTTCTTCTACTCT